TACTTGAAGCACTTGTACGACGACTTGAAGAAGCACTTCATCGATGACGGTGTCGCGGGGTCAAACCCGGGCAAGGGTTCCAAGCACTGGGTCTGCAAGTACTGTGAGACCCGGTTCGATGGCACAGCCACGGTTCTGAAGAACCATTTCTTGAACAAGTGCAGCTTGGACCACGTCAGTAAACCGCTGTCAGTCGAGGACAGGGCTAGGAGGGCAGTGGGCATCCGCAGGGGGAAGTTCATTGCGGAGACCATACACGGTTCATTGCGGAGACCATACAGGGTTCATTGCGGAGACCATACACGGTTCATTGCGGAGACCATACATGGTTCATTGCGGAGACCATACATGCGAGGGGGAGAAGCAAGCCGGCGACAAAGGGAGCGAGGTCGCACCGACTCGCCTGGTGGGACAGGAGAGGCGGTTATGGCCAATTAACCGGCCGTGGTCGCACCTACCTCCGACGAGTCCGTGCAGCCTGCACCGCGTTCCAGGAGACGCCTGCTGAGGCAGACGGTCATCGAGTATACCGACAGCATCATAACACGCAACAAGCACACGAGTCGGTTCCTTGACCGATTCCTGTTCTGCACAAACCAGCCGTTCAGCATCGTCGACAACGAATACTTCCTTGAATTCGTTGATGTTGTGAAGAAGGCGCATCCTTCGTGGATACCTTACAAAAGGGATGAGGCGTGGAGGAAGCGGTTCGATGGTTATTACGGAAGGATGAAGGTGGACGTGCACGCCATGGTGAAGAAGTGGCACCGCATCGGGTGCATGCTGCAGATGGATGGCTGGTCAGACAGGCCCAACCGACCGTACATTAATGTGATGATGTCATCCCCCATCGGGGCAGTATTTTGGAAGACCACATGGATGGAGGGGAAGGACAAGGATGCGGCAGCGTACTTCCAAATATTAGATGGATTTATCAAGGAGATCGGCGAGGAGGCGGTGCTGGGTGCTGTGATGGACAACGTGAGAGCATGCGTCAAGCCGGCAAGATGGTGGAGGCAACCTGCCCACGCATATTTTGCGTGGGGTGCACTGCACATGCCCTCGATTTGGCACTTGAGGACATGTACAAGGAATTGGAGTGGCTGCACAATGTTGTGGACACAGGGTTGGAAGTGGGCAAGTTGTTCCACAACATTGACAAGGCGAGGGCGCTGTTCCACGTGTACAGTCCGAAGTCGAAGTTGAAGCGGTCGGAGGTGACCCGTTTTGCAAGCAACCACGAGATGCTTGAATCCTTGAAGGCCAAGAACTCGCTGAAGAATTGCACTGACGATGCTGCGTGGCTGGAGAAGATGGTTAGAACGGACCAGCTCGCTGCATTCCACGAGGTGATGGCCATTGTGTTGGGGAAGGATGACTTCTTGGCGGTCGACAAGGCGCTCGCGGTGATGGGGCCAGTAGTGACGCTGCTTTGTCTTGTTGATGCGCTGGGGCCATCCATGTCGAAGGTGTATTTCTAAGATGAACTCTCTCGTCGCACGGATGTGCGAGCTTGATTGCATCACGGCGGGTGAGAAGGCCGAAGTAGAGGACATCTTGATGCGAAGATGGGCATTCATGACCAGCGAGCTGCATTGCACTTTTGTGTCCCTCGACCCGGAGCACCATCACATGAATGCACTGCGAGATCCTCAGGTGCACGCCGGATTCAACATTTGGCTTCTCTCGTGGGCGCTGAAGGACCAGCAGACACGCAGCGAGCTCAACCACCAGGTTGACCTAGAAGGGTCGTTCAAATTGCAAGACGCCGCGGAATCGGCACGTGTGCAGCCAGTGGATCTGTGGTGGGAGGCTTATTGCGTGAAGTTGGACCTGCTCCAGCAACAATCAGTCAAGTTGCTGGGCCAGACAAACTCATCCGCCGCATGCGAGCGGAATTGGAGCTTGCACGAGCTTATTTTCGGGCGCAGGTGTACCAAATTGCTGCTAGAGAGGCTGGGCAAGTTGGTGTACAGCAACTGGAACACCCAACTGTTGCGGGCGGCCTTGTGGGGAGACGGGGGGGATTTGCACATTCCGTGGGAGGACGACACGCCGGTAAAGGCAGCGATCAAGAAATGGCACAACACGTGGATAGCAACAACCATTAATCCCGCTGCTGTTGCCGCTGATGCCGATGTGGTGGCAGAAGATGTGGAGGTGGGTGCAGAAGACAGTTTAGCGCCATCGATGCGAACGTGGCACCGAATGACGTTGCAGATGACGAGGAATGCGACGAGGAGGACATGGCTCTCTTGGGTTCGTTGGAGAGGGAATGACATGAGTGCACAAAACCCGGCCGTCACAGAATGCAAGACCTGCGGAAAAGATCGGGCAGCTCGCTGCCTCCACCATCAGTTGTGTACACTGAGGCAGATCGGGCGGCTGCACTCAAGGCACGGCTGGCAGGAACGTGAGTGGAAGGTCGACGGGAGTCAACCAGCACGCAAAAGCATGTGAGGAAAAGAGCACGAGCGGCGGGCGAGGCGGGAAGGGTTATGGAGGGCATGGAGAAAAAAGCAGAAGTGGCCGTGACCCAGCCAGACCGGGTCCGCAAAAAGCAATGGTGCAGAATCCCGACATGAAGGGGCAAGGTGTAGGACGTAGGCAGACCGGACGCGCAGTATAATAGTTTTGTATTCTGCCCGTTGTCGAAACTTTTTTTGCTGAACTTCATTTCTAAAGTTTTTTGAACTTTTTTCATGTACTTGCTTTAATAAATTTGCAAATGACTATTGGCCCCATTCTGAACTTGGTCTGCCAGTTTATTCCCAGCAAATTGTCCGACAATGTATTTTTTAACAGCTGTCAGTTTAAAGGTTGTCTTGCCGCTCGTCCAATGCTTACAGTGGTCTGGTGCTGCTGTCCCCATCATTGTCTGTTGAATGCTGTGCATGTTATGCCACTGATCCGTCGCTGTTAATGGATAACACCTCCAGGTACGTTCTTTCCGACACCCTCTGTTTTCGAATTGTGTTGTGCAACTTGTGCTGCGACGCTGTCTGAATGTGTGCATCAACCTGTCAAAATGTGACTGTCGATATGCTGTTCGTCCGAGTCCTCCAAGTCAAAATTTGAGTGTCGTTCCGCTGTCAGTACAAGTTCGAGAGGTCTGTATAGTTGTCCAAACCCACGTACAGACCCCACATTACACCTGTGCAGACACAGAATACCCCTACCTCGCCCCCCATAAAAAAGGTCGGCGCATCTTGCGCACCTCCTCCAGTTAGCCCCACACAAGCACGTGCAGAGCAGCATAGAGCAGCGCATGCGCTTGTGCGCAGAGCCTCCTGGGCCGCGCAGCGCATTGCGCACGGTTCCAGTGCGCCGCAAGTATGGTACTATTCTAGAAACAGTGTGAGGAGAATAGCACGCATTACAAATTTATTTCATTTTAATTTATTCTAGAAACAGTGTGTGATCCAGCAGGCTAGCTCAGTTGGTTAGGCATGCAAGTGGCATTTGGGAGGTTGTGGGTTCAAGGCCCATGACCGCCTGCGGCGCCCTCAGTGCCAATGGACTGTGATAGTCCTCTGGATAACCCTGATCGGTATTAGCGGGGTCTATGACCAACACAGGTGTGAGTGTGAGCACGAGTGGGTTGTGTGTGGTGTGTGGGAGAGTGTTGACCATAGCCTCTGCTGCTACTCAATGAGGGGTGGGGGACAATGAGAACGGGAGGCGCAGCTACTGGCAAAATGCTCGGTCTTTGTGTTAGCCGGACCCCGACCGGCAGCCACACCCCATCTCTGACTATGCTTGCAGGGGTCCCCTCTATATAGTCTCAGGAGTAGTGGTAGGAAGGTAGTGAAAGGCAAAACGAATTTGAGAGAAGAACATTAGTTTAAAAAACAAAGAAACAGTGTGAGATCCACAGATCCTGAAATGTTCCAACTCTGGGGTACTTCCACAGCAATGTGTCGGCGCGAAGCTGGGCATATGCTGGGAACTCCGCCGAGTATCCGGCCAAATGACAAATGTGTCCGTGCGGACAATCAGCAGGGAAGTCATACATGTGTTGATACATGTGCTGCGCCCCTCAACGACTACACACCAGACATCCCTGCTTGGGATGGTGATATAGCCTCAACTTCATGCACAAAGCCGACCTGCTATCAATGTAGGATTGTCTGTAAGTTGTGTAGGGTCTGAAGCTCAACTGAAAGCTCTGAAACAGGTGTGCGGTAGTCTTAAACTACACTCTGAAGAATCATCATTCACAGGGATGGGATAATGAATTCTTCGTTGTAATTTGCTTGGAATATCTGAATCTATCAAACACACAACCGGTATATGTAACTGACTAGCTTCAAGCATGGCCATGCAATTCTGATTTGCATTCATTATCACCAAGCAGTCTGGAATATCATTTGTTTGTTTTTTCTTTTATTTTTTCTTTATAATTTGGACCATTCTCTATTTACGTGTGTCACCCTTGCACAGGGCCCATGCTAATCTTCCGTATCGTTCCAATTTTAACGGACTTTCCGAAGGACCTCAAATATTATTTGTAACAATTCCTTCAAAGAACTTTTTCATCTTTTTTTTTACCGCAGCACCTTATGAAACCTGTCTAACGAACATCATCCACATAACAACTCAGTAGTACACCACGTGAAGGATCTGACCACAAACAACAAAAGAACTCTGCATGTGAGTTTTAGTCCAAAACATTCAGGCACGTGAATCCAAAAGAACTCAACTCAACCCTTGTATTCAGCTCCTGGATCATGCAAGTGACATATTCCCTTCTCTGCCCGCAAAGATCAACGGGCAGAAAAGGCCCACCCTCCATGCAAGTGAAATATTCCCTTTCTGCCCGCAAAGACCAACAGGCAGAAAAGGTCTGTGTCCACCGGCCATCACCCCTGCCTTCGCTCTAAAATACCATGGAACCCTATTAGAATTGGGAAACCCTATTATGCAACTGGTATATCAGCAGGACTTCATTCACTCGCACATTGCATCTACAGACATGATTCGCAATGGAGCATACTTACCAAATGCTCTGCTTCGCTCCCCACGCTCAATTATTCTGGCCAAAGCAGCTGCAAGCGTCTCAAAGGCAAATACTCTCGCCGCTGCCAAGGGCCGCGACTTTGGGGGGAAAACCTTTGCACATGTGTCCAGCTTCTCAATCAGCTCAGGTATTGTAAGGCTGGCATCCAGGCACAGAACCGCCAGAAAAATGTTTATCTTAGCCCGCTGCTCCGCAGAAGCACGCGATGGCAAGCATACAGAAAGACTATCATCCTCCCCCAAACACACAGCGGCTTGAATACGAATGTAGACAGCAATCTCTTCGATCCCAAACAGTGACAACAAGGGTGCATTGTTCGGGGAAGATGATAAACAAGGAAAGAACCACACAACAAAGCCACATGGTAATAATTGAAGGCAAAAAGGGGATCCCGAATTCCAAAGCCAAATTCCACAACGGGGAAAGGTATCTCTCTTCAGTGCTACATGGAGCTGTTATGATCCTGCCCAATTTCGAAGTACACATTCATCAGACTGTACAATGCCGTCCAATTGCAGAAAGAAATGAACGAACTTGAGAGGAGAGAGAGGGTAAGAAGAAGAAAAAGAAGAAAGAAAGAAGAAGAAAATGATAAAGCTCTACTTCTTCGCCAAACACTCTCCTCCTCCTTTACTCCTCTCTTATTCACACAAGAAATAATAGTACAATGTTGAATGGCTGAACCAGAATCAATGCCTGAATCCCTCTTCTACTGCTGGTATCACTTGAGGTCCAACATAGCCATGGCCGCCTCCCTCACTCTTCACTCTCATAGGCCGAGGCTATGGCGGACTACTGGGCCTTGCCCTGATGCCCAAAGGACAACTCAAAGCAGCTATGGCTGCTCTAGCTCAGGGCGCCATGCCTGACTCTGCCTCGTAGCAGCTTGGTGTAGCTCTATCCCAGTTGGGGTCTTCCTGCTGCAGCACCCACCAAGGTGATGAAGATGGCTGCCACCATAGCCAGGTAAATAGCTCTGGCGCTCCCCCTTCCTCCTGCTCTTCTTCCTCCTCCGTGTCCTTGCTCCTTCCCCCAGCAGCGCTGCTCTTGCCCGAGCTGCTCCAGCCAGCGCTCCAACCAGTGTGTCGCCAAACTTGCACACCGACATGAGGCTGGGCTTTTCGCCCGGCCTCGAGATATAGCGGCCTGCTTGCCTCTTGGGCGGTGACTTCCAGGCCGCTCGGCCTTCCCAGGAACCGGTCCCTCCTCCCTTTCGAAGGGAATCATCATTGTAGACTCTGATATTGCCGTACAGGCCCTAGACTCAGACTGGTTGGACTGGTACCCGCCTAGACCTAGCCTACAACTACTGGGCTTCTCAAAATGCCACTTTTGTCTTCTTCTGCTCGCCCTCCAGTACCTGCACATCTACCTCTTCAGGGTGCGACACCGGCCTACCTGCTACTTGAGTGTTTTTCCCCGCTGCAATCCTCAATGTCACGGCCACAGGTAAGCACCGGCCCTGAGGACCCAACGAACGAACGAGTGCCCTTGCGGGTCACACACACACGCAAGCCAACCATCACTCAGACAGACAAGCAGACCAACAAGCGTGCACACACACAGAGACATGCAGAACTCGTAGCAAACGGGAAACTCAGCAAAGCATTCAGTCCGTGGCAAAACTCAGAAATCAACTGTGTGTCTCAGTCCGTGTTTGGTCGGGTCATCACATAGCAGTTAGTAGTAAGTTAGTACGCTACACGGAACCAAGCTCAACGACGAGTCTCAAACTGTTGCGATATTCCACGAAGAGTTAGAATACCACACAGAAGCAACCACAAGTGCCGCATTTGCAGTAGCATGTTTCGTCGAGAGGGGTAACTGTGATCAATAGTTCAGCCAGTAGGTGGTACAAGTCTGCAGCCTTCTCCAAGCAACTCAGCATGCATCCCTTTTGACAGTTGTGACCAAGTAAGCATCTGACATGACAACTCGACGGTTCAGAAGTAACTGGCACATTCAGCCAGAGATTAATTAACACAACCAAAAATAAATTTAAATAATAACATTCTCATTCGTACAGTGCAAGGAGGCCCCACAAACTAGAAACGTTAAAGTTGGTTGAGCTCTTCCTTTTGCAAGCCATGATCAGTTCACTCTTCGCTTCATACTGTGAAGTTAGCTCTGCCTTCTGTTCTGCCAGCTTTTGAACTGTCAAGTATGGCAACCAACGCAAATTCAGGATCCAGTCACACTAATTCATCACAGACGGGCTCCCTTTGCATGTCGGTATCAAAAACTGATGCCTTTCCACTTGGCTATACTCCAATGAGATAACGCGACCGACCAACGGCCTCAATGTCTTAGCTTAGAATTGTGTTTTTGTTTTTCAACTATTTCACTACACCATACAAACAACAATTGAATATTTATGGCAAGACGACTAAACCGCCAGTACCATTCCCGGCTTGAAAAAACAACTCTGAGTATGCCAAAAGCACGTTTTGGAGACTCAGCACAGCTTCGAGCAGGAAAACCACAAGCTAAGCAGTATGCTATCTGGAAAATGATGGCAAAAAAAAAAAAAAAAAAAAGGTTCTGGTCCTCTGGAGCATTGGAAAGAGGATGTGACCCCTTGGCATCTCCGCAAAAAGGAAAAAAACGAGAATCAAGAATTACAGTGCCCATATCTGGACAGCAGCAAGTCCAGATATGCTTTTTCAAATCTGATGATAATCCAGGCCCTAGCATACAATCTCCGCTGACAGCAGAACAATCGTGTCTGACAGCAGAACAGCATTGTGACAATCACGGTGTATTATTCCATGCCCCAGTGAAAGATTCACTCTCATTTTGCACATTTGGTGTGCACAGGAGCGAAGCCCTCAGCCCTTGCTGGTTGTTTAGGGTTCTTTTTCCCCCTCTGAACCCTATCAATCGCGGTGTATCTTTCCATGTTCAAGTGCAAGATTCATTCTCATTTTGCACTGAGCACAGTAGCGAGGCCCTCAACCCGTCCTTTTTGTTTCTTTTTCTTCTTTCCCCCTCTGAAACCCTATCAATCACGGTGATCTTTCCATGTTCCAGCGTCAGCCTGCCCTTTTTGTTCCATTCTGTTTTTTTTTTTCTTTCTCTGAACATTGGCACGCTCCTCTTTTCTCGGCTCCCAACAGCACAACCACGGTCACCCCTCATCGCGTCCTTTTCTTTTTTTCCCCAGAGCAGCAACTCCTTTTTCTGGTTCCCCTCCCACAGCAGCGGGCACTGGCCGCGGACAGGTTCGGCAGGGGCAGCTCAAGGGTACTGGAGGTTTAACTACTTAGCATTGCAGTGTTCCAAAAAACGAAACGCCCTGACATCATCAATTAAAATTTAAAAACGTTTTCTGGTTTCAGTTCATCCTTCGCCCGTGCCAGCAGCAGGGAAAACCTGCTATTTGCTGGCTTATATGTGCCTCTAGTTTCTGAGCACTACATCAGCAGTATAATCCCTGCCATGAATACAATGCTCCCAAATTTCCCCCCCTTCTTCAAACCACCAGTCCGCTAGCAAGATACGCCAGTAAACACACTGGCTGTTTTTTCAATGTATGGGCGTGCCTGCGCACAGTCCAATTCATTCATGATGAAAGAATTGTCAGAGGTCCGCAGAAGGGTTTCACAGACTGGTAGTTTCAGAAATACAGAACAAACAAAAAGTGAAACAAAATTTCAAAAATACAATTTCCCTGACTGAAGTCCTGCCACTGAATCCTGCAAAGCCACAACAGCTAACTCCTTGCAAAAAGGAAGTAAGTGGGACCTCCATTACCATTTTAAGTGCCGTGGGTCTGTGGGTGGAAGAGGCAAGACATTTTCATATTCATTTCTTAAACCACCACTACCTCCACCAGTACTGGAAAAAATGGGAAAAGTGGCTGTTTTTCCACTGTTTCCGAACTTTTCGGGGGTCGGCCGAGGCTCGGCAGTTGGGCCTTGTGGGCCCCTTCGAAAAGCAAAGAGAAAAACAAAAGACCAACTCCAGGCAGGCTGTGCACGAAGTTGTGCTCACACCAATACTCACAAGAAAATATCAAACTACAATTGTGGCCAGTTTCAGGTTGTCGTTGCTGCTGTTTTTGTTTTGTTTCGTTTTTCTGTTTTCATGCCCTGCCAGGGACGCACGGCGCCGTCCACGGGCTGCTGACACTTTGTGAAGGAGGGCATGCCCACACTACAACTTTGCAGAATGTATGAACCCGCTTTCCCCCCCTAAGTTCAGTTTCAATTTTCTTTTCCCCTCTTTTTTCGTGGACCTGACACCCCTGCCGTAAAGCCCTCACTGAGGGCATACTGGCACAACAACTTTGGGGCAAGGTATCTATGTTGTATCATGTCCAGAGGGGGGTTCGTCTTTTTTCTTTTTCTTTTTTGTGGTTGTGAGTACGTCGGTTTTTTAAAGTCTGCCCGTGCTTTTTTTCTTTTTCTTTTTCAGAAGAGTCCCAGAAAAGAAACACAACGGGGCCCAGGCTCGGCAAAACTCGGCGCGCAGCGAAAATCAGGGTCGGCAAAAACAGGCTCAGAGGTAGTGCTGGTTTAATGCAATTCTGATCTTGCAATCAGAACAGTCAGCCTTCATGTCTGCAGATTGACGAGTGGAATTCACAACAATGAAACCTTCCATGCTTAAGTCACCAGTACCTGTGAGGACTTCATCTTTACCGAACTGGTAGCCACAATAGGCTATGATTTTTCCCTCCAGACTGTCGAAAACTGATTACTGGGCCTCATTACGCCCGGAAGGTCAGATCCAGAGGAAAGCAGTTGAACCTTTTACAGCCTGCTGAGCTCATAACTTTCAGCCAAAAAGTCGAATAAACGGAAAACCTAGGCTACCAGCCATGCGGCCCATGTGGCAACAGCCAGCATGGGACGCAGCCAAACAGCCTGCCCGACAAAACATAAGACCATTTGTGGACCCCGTCAGCCTCCACGTGGTCCGCAGAGGGTTTTTTGGACCGCCTGGCTCAAGAAAAAAAAATTGGAGGCTGGTAGGCCTCCATTTCTTTTATGCGAAATCTGGGTGGTAGATCAAGGACTTAAGGGACATTCAAACTTCGAATGGCCAGCGTTGCGTTGGGTGGCTCAGGGAACGAAGGCCATCGCTGCCTTCACGACTCCATTGTCACCATCCTGGTCGCCATCATATCAGCAGCT